TGAGGCGGGTGGGCGGCGCCGACACGGGGCCCCGCCAGAATTGATGATGCTTGCGTGGGGCGCGGGCATCCGTCGGCAGCGGCGGGGCAGTTGGAGCACGATCGGGCGCTGCGCGCTACAGCTCCGAGCGCTGTCAGATACATTAGCGTGTATTGCGCATGTGTTGCATTTGGGCGAACGACATATTCCTACCCATCTCCCCCTCCGCCCCCTCTCGCCTTCCCCTCTCGCATCCCCCCCCGTTGGCGCGTGCAGGCGGTTGTGGAGCCACCGTGGGACCTATCGGGGCTCTCGCATGGTCATATAGAGGCCGTATCGGGGCAGCGTATGGGGCTCGACTTCAGGGTTGGTTCGGTTGCGATTGGGGCGCCATGGGCCCACGCACGGTCGAAGGATTTGTTTATTTCGGCACGCCCCCCCCCCCCCCCCTGCTCGGCTTTCGGGCAATTGTGCGATGAGATCTGGAGCTCTCAAGGAGGTCCCAGCGATGCCCCGGTGGGGCATCCCAGGTAGCCCCAACTCACATTGGCCGTTGCAGCGTGCGGCATGAGCGGTGTTGCTCGGGGCTCGCACGGGGTCTCATCGGGGCCGTCGATGGGCATCCTAGGGTGCGTGTTGTAGGGCCTGCATCTTGCGGCGCCCTCCTGGGGCACGCGACTGCCACCCACTCGATCGGCGAAGGAGCCCACCATTTGAATAGTACGATCTGACTATTCAAGTGTGGGTGGGGGGTACTTGAATCGTAAGATTTGACTAGTCAAGTGTGGGGGGCACCGCTTGAATAGTAAGATCTGACTATTCAAGTGCGGGGGCGCACGGCGTGATTCGTAACCTGTGATTGTTCAAACGGTGCTATCCTTTGCGTGACCATCGCGTCCGCGCTGCGTGTTCGGCCGTGTCTGCACCCCCCCCGCCGATGACCCTTCTGCCGGTAATGCCCCCGCCCGCCCCCCTTGTCCGCCCTCGCCGCCCCCCCGCATCCTCGTCCTCGGCCGCCCCCCCCCCCTCCGCCTTGCCATTTGGGCCCAAGTTTCTCGACTGCTAGCGCGGTGCTGATCCAATTGCTTTCGCAGTGACGCCGCGCACAGCGGCCGTGGTGGCGTCGTTGGTGAAGCAGCTCACGAACCTGAAGGGCTTCTACGACAAGCGCCCCGACACGGCGCACACGTTGATCCTGCCGACGGCCACGTCGGTTGCCGCCAAGATCCATAACTTGCCGTCCCTGACACACGACGAGTCGGCCGCTCTGATGGACGCGGCAGTATCGGCATTTGGTGAGCACTCCACCATGATCGACGCCGCGTGCAGCGATCGCTTGCTAGAGACCGTCGCACGCAGCACTGCAACGTCGGTCAAATGTCAGAAGTTGGGTCGGCTCACGCACTTTCTCACGTGCGCGGACTGGGAGAAGCTGACCCCCGAGCACGGCTTCCAGACATGGCAGTCGACTATCAGCGATCGATTGCAGTCTCTCGGAGTATACTCCCCCACGCGAGCAGACCGTCAAGAGCAGCGTGGCCCTGCTCATGTGGCTCAAGCACCAGAAGGGCGAGCCGTGGCCGAGCCTCGGCGACAGTTGCGACATGGGGCGCGACTTCAAGGCGACGTTCCCGATCAAGCCAGAGCACGCGCTGTACAACCCAGGCGTGGCCTCTTACCCCGACGACCCCACGGGCTTGCCGAAGCACGTGTACGACCACGCGTACGGTGACGAGGCGCCGATTACGCGGGTCATCCCTGAGCTGGTGGCGATCCGCGAGCATCGCGTCAGGGTTCGGAGTGCCCCAGGGTCTGATCGCCGCCAGGCTGGTGCCGCGCCCGATCGCCGCCGAGCTTCTAACATTCCGAGGCACCACCGCCAGTTGCTCGATCTCCCATCTGCCCCTACCGATGCTGGTGGCGAGGGCGGGCACCAAATCGTGATGCCAGACGGCTCGAGGATCACGATTCTGAAGGCACCAGTCGGTCAGCAGCCTGCGCCCATGGGCTGGGGCCACCCGCGCAGGACCATGGCCGCGCAGCTGGCGATCGGTGATTACCACGTGTCGCAGCACTCACGGCCGTCGCAGCATCGCGGCAGCGGGGCGCCGCCGTCTGCGGCTCCCGAGCAGAGCTCGTGCGAGTCGGGCGCTGGCTCGTACGTGCCAGGCGGCCCGTCGCCCGAGCCACCAGCGGCTCTGGCCGTCGCAGGCGGCGGCGGCGCGCCCCCGACGGCGCCCGTCGCCGACGCCAGCGAGGCGGCGGAGAAGGAGGCCTTCGAGAAGCTCTTGGCTGATAAAGACGAGAAGAAGAAGCTGGCCGCGGAGCTTCGCAAGGAGAAGACGGCCGCGAAGATGGCCAGAGCGGCCAAGGCAAAGGCTGTCGCAGCAAAGGCGAAGGGCTCGGTGCTCGGGAAGCGCCCCGCTGCCGCCGAGGCTGAGGGGTCGAAGATGGGCAAGTGCCCGTGCGAGAAGAAGGCCAAGCTTTTCGTCGGTGGCAACTTCGCCGAGTTCACCAAGAAGGCCGACGTGAAGAACTACAAGAGCTTCGGGTCGTTCACCAGTCGCGCGTGCAAGGGCGTGCTGTGCCGCACTGGCGACGTCGAGGTGGCCAAGCGGGCCTTTGTGGCAGCTGCTCGCTGCTGGAATGCCGCGCGCGGCAAGTAAGTTGGCCGCGCCGGCCTTTTCGTTGCCAGCGCTCCTCGCCTTCCTCATCGTGCTCCATATCGCCCCTCCCATCCTCTTCCTCCTCCTCCTCCTCCTCCTCCTCCTCCACTTCCTCCTCATCATCCTCCGCCTCCCCCTCCCCTCGCACCCCCCCCTCCCGCTCGCGTGTGCCGCGGGGGCGGCGCGCTCAGTGCACTTCGGCCTGTGGGGTTTAAGGCTGCTGCCTGCCAGCCTAGCGAGGCTGGATATGCGCCAAGCTAAGACTGCTGCCTGTCAGTCGAGCCAAGGGGTGCCAGCAGCCAGTGGAAAAGGCAGCGCCCCATGGGGCGAGCTGGGGTGCGTTCTGGCCAGGAGATCAACGCGAACCCAGTCGCGGCGAGGAGGGGCCGCCCAAAGGCGAATCCCGCCCAAGAGCCCCCTCAAGAGAGACCCAAGACGGCCCCAAGGCGTCCCGTGAGTGCCCCAATAGTGTGTATCTATATATATATATATATGCATATATGTGTGTTTGCGTGTGTATATCGTTAGCTGTGTACTGGATTGCGCCAGAGCGGTTGCGGGGAGACGATGCGAGCGATACCGAGTGGTAGCATTCGTGCTTCTGGTTCTGGCCCAGACCCCCTCATGAACTTAACAGAAAAAGGTCTTACCAGCTACGCTAGTTTAACAGACAAGGCCTTGTGAGCTACGATAGATTATGGTCCAGGCCCCTGTGGGTTTAACAGAAGTCATGCAAGCTACGCTAGTTCAACATCAACGGTCTTACGGGGCATGCTAGTTTAACAGAACGGGTCTCCTCCTCCTCCTCACCAGCCTCCTCCTCCTCAGCCTCTTCAGCCTCATCATCGTTCTCCCCGTGCCCCTCCTTCTCGCGCATCCTCTGACTTGGCGCTTCGTTGTAGGGTCGGCGGTGGCCGCGTTCCGAATGCAGAGTTTCGCTATAGGGCCTCGCGCAGGCGTTGCGATGCCGACGTCGTCGCCATCCATCGGGTTTCGCCGCAGACTTGGCTATGGCGTCTCAGCGTGGGCATGGGCGTGCTGCGCCTGGTGGTTCGCCGACGGGGCCCTCCATCCACCTCTTCTTGTGTATCCGCCGTAGCTGTTTTGGGCTCGAGCGCGTTCCGCATCATTTCGCTGCGCCCGACACGGCGCATTCAGCCTCAGTCCGTGCAGATGCCTCCCAAGGCCAGAGTACAGGAGATCCGGCTCAGGCTCCAGCTCGCCAAGGAGAAGGAGCGCTCCAAGGGGAAGACGCGCACCATCACCGAGAAGGATCGCGCCATCAGGTTGTGCAACGAGAAGGCCCACATCATCAAGGCAGAGATCGACGCGCTCCAGACCCGCGGCGACACCATGTCCGCCAAGACCAAGCAGGACACGATCAATGCCATTGCGAAGGCGCCCAGTCAGACCCAGGCCACCATCCTCGCCAGCAAGGAGAAGCTGAAGTACAAGGCGTTCCCGCAGGCGCTTATGGATCGCATGCTTGCCGAGAGGACTGCTCGGAAGGCGGCGGCGATGCAAGCCAGCCGTTTCGCCAAGTGGATGGCGAAGGCCAGCGCCAGGGCGGCCATGGGAGAGCCACCGCCAGCGCGGAGGCGCCCAGCAGGTGCGACGGGCGAGCCGACCCCATCGCCATGAGCGCTGCCATCGCTGAGGACGTGATGGCGCGGTGCAGGCGCTTGTGAGCTCGAGTGCGTATGGGCAGCCATCTATATCGTGATTTCGCGCGCGTAGGTGCGCGCTTCCATGTGGGGAGCGCAGGAGCGCCCTTTCTCGCCGCCCAGGCAACACGTGCGCCGCGATGGCGGCCAGTTTGAGTTCCAACCTTACGTGCCGTCTGACTTGGCACGGCGAGTCCGTGTCGTGTTGATGCACACATCTGGAAAACCAGCTCGTTTGTTGATTCGTTGGGGGTTCCACTTTCTCAGTCACTGCCAACGCATTGCCAGTGCTAGCGTTTCGTTATAGGGTGCAAGTATCGGCCAGCGGCGTTTCGCTGCCCATTGTTCCTAGAGTGCTTCGCTATATAGGGTTCGTCGTAGAGCTCCATTGCGCCATGTGCTTTGTATTTCGCTATATGGCTACGTGTGCCATTCTGCCTGTCATCCACGCTCGTCCTCCATAGCGTTTCGTTATAGGGTTCCACCTTCGTTTCGCTATAGGGTTGCACCCTCCATCGATATAGGGCTGTGCCCTCAATTGCCCCGCGGCGTTTCGTTATAGGGTTCCACCTTCGTTTCGCTATAGGGTTGCACCCTCCATCGATATAAGGTTGCGCCCTCCATCGATGCAGGGCCGCGCCCTCCGTAGCCATTTTGGCACACGGTTCCTCGGGGTTGGGCGTGCTCCGAGGAGAAAGCTGGCAAGTTGCGCAAACTTGAGAAGTTTCGGCGCGCCTTGCCCCACGCCACTGGCGCGGCGCTGACTGCCGTCTTTGCCGAGGCGAAAGCTAGTCACCTCCCCGAGGGCCCCGTCTCGCGGCGAGAGCTGCTCAGGTCGCAGAAAGAGGTTTTGAACCAGAGAACTCTGCACGGATCCATAGGCAAATGCCTTGCGCTGAAGTCCGCGCCGGGCGACGCGGTTGAGATCACATACGTGTGCCTCCACTCGTTCTTGCAGCATGCGTTTGGCGAGTGCGCCGCGTTCAGGGACTTCGTCTTGTTGAGGCGCGGTGCCTGTCCTTCGTCGCCCGAGCGCCCGTGGCGGCTCATCTATTACGCGGACGAGTACAACCCTGGGCTGGAGCTCACGGCACGACATTCCCGAAAACAATTGATGACGCACGTCACAGTTGCAGAGTTTGGAGCTTCCGCGATCGAGCGGGAGGAGTGCTGGATCACGATTTCGGCTGCGCTCACGACGATCGTCGACGCCACGATCGAATCAGGATACAGTCAGCTAGCTGGGCGACTCCTGCATAGCATCTTCTGCGGGAGCACCGACCCGCACACGGCAGGCGTGACGTTGGAGCACGACGGCATCTACGTGCAGTTGTTTTTCGGTCTCGGCGGAGTTCTGATGGGCGGCCTGGCCCACAAGACCACGTGGGGCACGAAGGGCGACAATGCTACTAGGATGCGCATGAAGTGCGTCAACTTGCACGCTCGGGACTCCGCGCCAGTCGCTGGGGCGGCCGACGAGCGCGGCGGCGACTACGCTCTCACTTGCAACATCCACGATGAGAGCAAGCTGGTGTTCGCTACCGACGAGCAGGTGTACGGGACCATTGGCAGGCTCGCGCGCTACAAGGCCGCGGAAGAGCCAGAACGATTCAAGATTCGGCAGCAAGCATTTGCCGTCTGGTGTTCTCAGCATGCCAGAGCTCAGGGCATCGTCAGGCCCGTGACCCGCGCGATGACCGAGCCCGCTCACACGTTGTACATCGGCGGGGTCATGAACACGACGATTTTTCTGTACTTGGACCTTTGTACAAGGGCGGTGCTTCTGGGCTGTTCCCAGCGCTTCGTGGCTTTCTTCAGAAATGGACGTGGAACATCAAGCGCCCGCAGAGACAACTTGCTGGATATCTTCGCCCCGAAGCGCGTTGAGAGCTGGCGCAAGGCAGGCCATTTGAAGTGTCATGCGTCGGAGCTGATGCAACTCATCCCCGTCCTCGCACACTGGGCGGGGGAGCACGGCGCTGGCAAACCAGGCACGGCCGCGTTTCTAGCGTGCGTTGACGTGCACGCGGCAGTGTCACTGAGGAGGACGAACAGCTGCTCGGGCGATCACGCCCAGGAGTGTGTGCGACGGTTCTTGGCCGCGTGCGTTGCGGCGGGTTGGACGGAGAACATGGACCCGAAGTTCCACTGGCTAGTCCACCTGGCGCGAGAGCAGATCGCGTCGGCCTCGTGTGCGAGGCCAACCACAAAGTTCCGAAAGCGTATGCCAAGGATCAGTGCAACTTGACTGGGTTCGACGAGAGCGTGCTGTCGAATGTGACGGAGAGGCACCTGTGGCAGCTCGGCAACAACCAGTGCTTCAACTTCGGCGCCCACCTCGAGGACCCCAGCGCGGCGCCGAGGAGGCTGGGGGACCTGGCGCGGGCAGAGTTGACTGTCCGCGCCGACGCCTACGTGGCAACTTCGGTCAAAGCGAGGCTCAAGGACAGGGGGGCCGTGCATCGCGGCGACGTGGTCCTGGTTGACTTGGGGGGCAAGGCCGCGGCTGCCGAAATTGTGGCCCTGTGGGACTCGTGCGGAATCGTTGGCGCTATGTTGCTCATGTTTTGCGACGTGGCGTCGTGGTCTCCGCGTTCTGCCACCGCAAGATGGACGGTCCACGACGATAGGCAGTATGAGTTGATCAGCCTCGATAACATCCTGTGCTCTGTGATTTACCGAAGCTACGGTTGCACGTTGGCTACGTTGGTGCCGCATTTCTGCAGGCGTTTGTTTGAGTAGGCCCGATCATGGGCGCTCGAGCTGCAGCGAAACTCCGAATAGCTTTCGCTATCCGCAGCAAGTTCATACCGGGTAGATCCGATGGCGCGCTTTCCGAGCTGACTTTGGAAAGCGCGCCCTCGTGAGCCGAAAGAGCTCGAAAGTAATCGTGAGCCATCGTGCGCCCTCGCATCGGGCTCGCATCGGGCTCGCATGCGCTCGCATGTGCTCGCATGTGCTCGCATGGGGTCGCACGAACAACCGAAGCCGCGTGGCCACCACCGCGCCGTGGCCACCGCCGTTGTGGCCGTGCCCTCGCGCATGCCGCCCGCGCGGGTGCATGCGCCCCCTGCGTGGAATGCGTGTATGTGATATATATATAATATATATATATTATAAATATTATATAGATATATATATATATATATATATATATCATATACATACACACATAGCGCGCCCCCCTTTCGGGTTCACCGTTTCAGCGCGGGCGCGCCCCCCTTGCACGGAACGGGCGTGTCCCATTTTAATTATGAGGTTTAAATTGCGTAAGACAGACGCGCCCCATGCAGTTTGAACCATTATGAAGGCACTTGCAAAGTGTTTAAACTGAGACGCCCTGATGCAATATGCAATCCTGATTACGTTTCGCCCGAGACATCTTTACAGAATCACCCCGCCCGCCGGGGCCTGAGGTGAGGGCACGCTATGTCCCCTCCTCTTCCTTTCCCCCCCCCCCCCCCCCTCCCCCCGGAGGGCCGCTTCGGCCCAGAGCAGGTCGGCATGCCGACCCTAGCTCCGCCGCGTCGGGGCCCCGATCGCTTCTCCGGAGGGATCCCGACACCGCTGCTCGTGCATGGGAGCTTCGCCGCCGCGGCTGGATTCGCTGCGCACATCTGGGCGAGAACGCGCGCCAGGGGGGGGCCCGCGGAAAAGCGGTATCGGTATCTCTCCGGGGGAGAGAGTTGTGCTAACCAGATCCGGCCATGGTCACACGGACGTGGGGGAGCGGGCCCCGCGGGGGGTCACAATCCCGATGCCCGCCCCCTCCTCCCTGAGTGGGCGGATGCATCCGCCCACTCAGGGTCATGTTTCGGGGATCCCTCGTCGCCGCGGCTGGGTCCCCTGCGGAATTCTGGCCATGGGGGGCCTCGGCGGGGGGCGGGCGGCCGCGCCCCGCAGGGGTTGGCAGCGGTGCGACGAGGTCATTGGCGTGTACAACAAACAATGGAAGCGTACGACGACAGCTGGGAGCGCCACGGCGGGTTCTGGCACTACGCGCCCGGCCGACGACGACGACGACGACGGAGGGCTCTCGGAGAGCCCTCAAAGGGCCCTCGGAGGGCTCTCGGAGGGCACTCGGACGACGAAGATGTCGACGACGACGACGACGACGACGACGACGACAACGGCGGCCGCGGCGGCGGCGGGGGGGAGGAGCGTGTTTTGTGGTTTTCTGGTTTTCGGGGGCCCTCCTCTTCGATGCGGCTGGACGCGGCTCGGAAAACTGGCACGTTTAGACCCCGAGGGAATCCGAGCCCCGCGGAGGTACGTTGGACGTGCGTGACGGCGCAGCTGGTCGAGAATGACGGCCAGCCGTGCTCAGGGCACTTCGAGGGGGCCCCATCATCCTCCTCATCCTGCTCCTCCTGCTCCTCCCTCATCCTCTTCCTCCATATCCTCTCCTCCTTCTCCTTGCCTCCTCCTCCTCCTCCTCCTCATCTTTTTCCTCCTCCTTCTCTTCCATCTCCTCCTCCTTCTTCCTGCTCCGTCTGTTCCTCCTCCTCCTCCTCATCCTTACCTCCTCCTCCTCCTCCTCCTCCTCCTCCTTACCTCCTCCTTCATCGGCCTGGGAATGGGACTGGGTGCCAAACGGCCCGCCGAACATCCCTGAGTACCTCGCGAGCTGGATTGACGGCCAGCGAGGGGGAGCAGGAGCTCCACAAGGCGAGGAGGAGAGGGGGGGGGGGGGGCGGGTCGGGTCAGGGGAGGGGAAGGACGTGAAGGGGATTGGGAGAAGGAGGACGAGGGCGAGGAGGAGAGGTTGCGACGGTTGCGCTGCGGCTGTCGCTGGAAATTAGCATCGCTACTCCCTTCCTTCCCCATCCCCCCCCCCCCCCCCCGCCGCTGTTCGCGCCGCGGGCGGCGCGCGACCCCTGGGCGAGAAAGTGGCAGGGGGGGGCGGGGGGGAGTGAGGGCGGGAGAGAGGGGCGGAGGGGGAGGTGAGCGGGATGGGGGAGGAGAATATAAAGGAGGAGGAGAGGAGGAGGAGGAGTGGAGGAGGGCTCGAGCGGAGGAGGAGGAGGAGAGGGAGGCGGAGGAGGAGGATGAGGAGGAAGTTGGGGTAAGCCACAACTTTATGGCCCTTGGGGGCGCGGCCCGCAACGGGCTTAGCACCGCCGCAGGAGGAGGCTCGCGGGGCGGGCCAGACAACCCGTCCACTTTTTCCTCCTCCTCCTCTCCTCCTCTCATCCCCCCCCCCCCCCCCCCCCACCCCCCCCCCCCCCCCCCCCCCCCCCCCCCCCCCCCCCCCCCCCCCCCCACCCCCCCCCCCCCCCCCCCCCCCCCCCCCCCCCCCCCCCCCCCCCCCCCCCCCCCCCTCCCCCCCCCCCCCCCCCCCCCCCCCCCCCCCCCCCCCCCCCCCCCCCCCCCCCCCCTCCTCGTCTTCCTCTTCCTCGCCCTTCAGCGGAGGAGAAGACATCGATGCCGCCGCTCGCCCGGGGGGGCCGTCGTCGCCGCGGCTGGATTCGCAGGGAACTTCTGGTCAGGACGCTCCCGGAGTAGCGTTGCTGGTATCGTTTCGCCCCCCCACAGTCCTCCCACCCCCTTCGTCGTCGTCCTCCTCCTTCTGGTCCTGCTCTTGCATGGGTGCTGCACTTTGCGAGGACGTCCGCTCCTCCTCCTCCTCCTCCTCCTGGTCCTGCTCTTGCTCGATCATGGATCCTCCATCCTTGATCCTCTTGAGACTCCTCGGCCCCCCATTCCACTACAGAGAGGAGGATGAGGAGGAGGAGGAGGAGGAGGAGGGCGGGAGGGGCAGGGGAGGGGGCGGGCAGGAGGGGAGGACATGCATTTGGCAGTGTATTGCCCAGCTTGCCCCTCCCCCTCCCTTTTCACCCTTCCCCTTTCGGGGCCTGTTGGACGTTGTTCCCCGTCGTCCTCCTGCGTGCTGCCCCTTATTCCCGGCTACTCATCTTCTGCGGCTCCATTCTCACCTCCCTTATCCTTCGTCCTCTGCTGCTCCTCTCGAGCCCCATGGGATCGCGCCCTCAGGGGGGGGGGCGTCGAGGAAGGCGCCGTTCGCCACTTCGAAGTCCGAGCCCCTCGCCCGCCCAGGTGTCGCTTCCGATGGCTTTCCTGGGAAATCCCAGGTGCCAAAGCGGAGCGGCATCGGGGCGGGGGGGGGCGTTGGGCCTCGAATTGGCGAAGGGCGTCTTCCTCCCCGGCGGCTCGGCTCGACCCTCAAGCACAAGTACCCGGCATGTTTATCACGCGCCCGCCTGCGCGAGGACGAGGATGAGGAGGTGATGGGGAGGAAGGGGGGATGCATATGAGTAATTAGGGGGGCGCCGTAAGTTGGGCACCGAAGGAGGCGCCTTTCGCCACTTCGAAGTCCGAGCCCCTCGCCCGCCCAGATGTCGCTTCCGGTGGTTTTCCTGGGAAATCCCAGGTGCCAAAGCGGAGCGGCATTGGAGCGGGGGGGGGGCATTGGGCCTCGAATTGGCGAAGGGCGTCTGCCTCCCCAGCGGCTCGGCCTTCAAGGAGGACGATGGCGGCGAGGAGGAGGAGTGGGGGGAGGGGGGGAGGAGGAGGAGGAGGAGGAGGAGGAGGAGGAGGAGGAGGAGGGGGCATATGAGTACTTAGGGGGCAGCAGAGCTGGCGTGAGGGCGTTGCCAGGACCAGGATTAGGAGGACCACTAGAAGCAATAATCATATCAGGAGCAGGAGTGGGGCCAGTAGGAGCCGGAGTAGAAGCAATAGGAGAAGGAATGGGAAAACCCGCAGGAGCATGGGGACCGGCAAGAGCAGGAGCAGAGCAGGAGTAGCAGGAGCAGAGCAGGAGCAGAGCAGGATCAGAGCATGAGGATCCTGGCCCATGGAGCCTCTTTTGGCTGAGGAAGGCGCTGGGGGGCCCAGGGGGCGTGCAGCTGCCCTCAGCCCCCTGGGTGGAGAGGGGTTGCGGTCCCTCTTCGCCCTGCTCCTCCTCCTTCTCCTCTTCCTCACCATCCACAGGTTCCTTTTCCTCCTCCTCAGGGACATGCCCCTCCTCCTCCTCGCCCTCCTCCTCCTTCTCCTCGCTGTCCCTCCCCCTGCTTTTCATTGTTGTTCCATTGTGCCCAACCCTCCTCGGGACTTCTTCGCCCCTTTCCCCGAAAGGGGAGGGGCGGGGATGGGGGGTCAGGAGAAATGTTGACCAACCAGGGGGCAGGGGGCGGCTCGCGCTGCGGCGTCGGGCGATAGCCTCGCAGAAGGCGGGGACGTGCGCTAGCAGCGATGTGAGACCGAAGGATCCATGGCCTTCTAGATCGGTTGCCCGCCCTCCGAAATGGGAAGAAGGCGAGGTCATTGAATGTGCGAAGTTGTTGCTTGATACACTGCCGCCTAAATGGAGGAAGATCGCTAAAAGAGGTCACAGCATCATCTCGCGGGACCCCAAACACCCTGTCAGCGAAGACGACGTCAACATGCACTTTCACGTGCTCAACCTTGTTATCAAGCTTGTGCCCGCCAAAGTTTAGCTCAGCATATTTTTCTTGGCAGACGTGATCCTGGAGTTCGGTGATCTCCTAGATGGCGACTATCTCCAATCAAGCAATACTATGAGAGATAAGATACATGAGGCTGTGCAAATGGGAACCCAATGGAAATTCTCATGGCAGAAAGCTCGAATATTGTGGCGCTCCAGCTCTGGGTCCAAGAAACATCAAAACACTCGAGAACATGATGCTGCCAGATAACTCCCCTCGGGCTCACCGGCGAGTCATCGCTCGGGGCGGCCCAGGACAAAACATTCAACGATC